ATGCTTTTCTTGATTAGAACATCACTTTTCAGATCAGAAAAGGGAGGCATTATCTAGAATCCCACTAATGTAAATCAGGAGAATTGGCCTTGACTCGAGCCTGGGTTCTGGCTCTCGAGCACACACAGAGCAACCGGCCACAGGGATAGCATAGGCAGGTGGAGATGGCACCTCCCCACCCGGCAGCCCCCTGCCGTGTGGAGTAGAAGGCAGTACCTTAGGAAAACATCAAAGGTGATCTGGAACTTGCTCCAGCTTGCTTGGTTAGTCTTCAGGTTACCTCAGGAAAAGCAGGGACTGTGGTAGGAGTATGCCTGCATCACTTCTGGAAACAGTCAGCTCAGGAACAGAGGCCACGCTAGCCTAGACCAGCACTGTCTCAGCCTCTCCACTGCGCTCATCTATTTGCTTCATTTTCCTCTGTCTGCCTACAGTGTCTCTGCTTATGCATTTGCTCTTTATGTACATCTTCTCTTTTTTAGCTGAGGAAGATTCACCCTGAGCTAACATCTGTTGCCAATCTTCCTCTTTTTTTTGCTTGAGGAAGATTAACCCTGAGCTAACATCCATGCCAGTCTTCCTCTATTTTGTATGTGGGTCACTGCCACAGCATGGCTGACGAGTGGTGTAGGTCCGTACCTGGGATCTGAACCCTCAAACCTGGGCCATAAAAGCAGAACATGCTGAACCCAACCACTATGCCACTGAGCCAGCTCCTACATTTGCTCTTGTTCTCACTACTAACAGGAAGATCTCTTAGAATTTTCTAGTTCCAGTGGGTTACAGAATTTTACTGGGCCATAGTAATATGTCCCAGCCTAGCCAGTGATGGGCTACCCTTGGGTCATGAATGCCTGTACCTGGAATCACAAGGTACAAATGTGGCCACAAAAAGTCGGGGGCTGGGTGTGGGGCAGCTCCCTTCACAGGGAGCGTGAGGGGCAGTGGCTGACATTTAAGGACCGAGGTTCCTCTGGAATTTGGGGCTGGGGCTGATAGTTGTTGGCTGACACTCATACTCATTTATACTGCCAACAGGTGAAGTGGTGAGAAGGGTAGTGGCTTTCTTTAGGCTAGAAGGACAAATTTACACAAAGAGACTGTAGCCCACAGTTCTTGTTGCTGGCTGGGCGCCCTTGGGTCCCACACAGAGATGGAATGCTTCCCTCCCGGCATTGGAGGTGCCCTGTGTTGCATGTGGCTTTTGGGGACCTAGTCTATATGTTGGCTAAGAACACGAGTGTAGGATGTCTTGGGTTCCAATCCCAGCCAAGCCACTTGCTTTGTGATTTTGAATAAATAACCTCACCTTCTGAACTCCAGTCTTCTTAGTTATAAAATGGGAATAATTCTCAAACAAAATTCAGATTATGTTACTCTACTACCTAAAATCCTGCATGGCTTCCCATTGCTCAGAATCACATCCCAAGTCCTTACAATGGCTGACAATGCCCAGAACAATGTCTGCACCCTCCTCATTTCCAGGGCCTTCTCCCCTGTCTTGCTCTCCCGCAGCCACACTGGCCTCCTGGCTCTTCCTAGTATACTCTAGGCCTGCTTCTAACCTTGCACCAGCTCTACCTTCTGCCCAGAAAAATCTTTACCCGAGTGCTTCAAGAGTCACTTCATCATCAGCTTCCAGTCTGTGCTGAAACACTCCTATCTCAGTGAAGTTTTCCCTGACGACTCTTTAAAATTGTAATCACTCCTCCTCTTCCGGCATTCTAGATTCCCCTTGCCATGCTCTACTTTTCCATAGCACATATCCCTTTCTAACACAGCACATAATTAATTATTGATCTTGCTTATTTTCTCTCTCCCACGGCAGAATATAAACCCTGGAGAACAGGAATCTTGTCTGTTTTCTTCATTGATCTGTCTCCAGTCCCCAGTACAGAGCAGGCACAGGGTAGATGTGCAAGAAATACTTTTGAATGAATGAGTTTGTGTATGTCAGCTGCCTTCTGGCTTCATTTCCTTCCACTGCAACCTCAGTTTCTGATGATTAACCTGAATCACCCCCTCACTGTTCATTCATTCATTTATTTGTCTGTTCAACAATTATTTATGTGTCTATTCTGTACCAGACATTGGAGACAGAGCAGTGAACAAAACTAAGTCGTTCCCTCTTCACTTGCCAGGAAGGCAGGCAGTACCTACAGAAACAAATAAAAATATACTATAATGTTTGGTGCTGTATGACACCAGAATATGCCACCCCAAAATATGCCTGTAAGAGACCAGAATATGTCCCCAAATCTACCTCTTTGCCATAAGAATTATTTTGAGCTTATTATTTTGAGAAACAGCAGACACAGGAGAAGCTAGGAAAACACAGCAGAAGTTGCCCTTTAGTCAGGGAAACTCACATTTATAAAGGAAATCTCCATTTGTCCTGGTGTCTCCCTCTCTGCCCTCCGAAGAGAAGATGACTCTAAATCACAAGAGACTGTCATCAGTGGAGAGGACCTGACTTAAATCTGCATAACAAACCTTACTCTCCTTTACCTTGCTTTTCCTGGCCACTTTCCCGTGGCTTGCCTCCCCAACACCCTCCTCCCTTGTTTTAGCTGAAGATGGTGTTTAAGCCCAAATTCTAAACCACCTCTTTGAGTTACTCTTCCTGAGTTCCTCCCATGTATATATGAGATATACATGTTCATAAACTTCTGTTTGTTTTTCTCTTTTCAATCTGTTTTTTGTTAGAGCAGCCACAGCCAAGGACCTAGATGGGTCGAAGGAAAGATTTTTCTCTCCTACGGTGCCAAAACGTGCTAATGAAAATATCAAGCAGGGTGAGATAGAGTACTACTCTAGGTAGGATGGCCAGGGAGGTGTCCCTGTAGCAATGACATTTAAGGAAGAGTCTGAATGAAGTGAAGAAGTGAGCCATGTGGCTATGGGGAGAAGGTGTTCCTGGCAAGAGAACAGTAGTAAAAACAAGGGCCCAGCGGCAGTGGCATGATTGGCATGTTGCTGCACTCACCCAGCCAAACATCAGGTGGTACAACCTGCTATTTCCACACCTGTACCTGATCAGCCCAACTCTGTTGGAAGAACTTATGCCAACAGGCAGACTGTAGTACTGCAGATCTATTATTGCAACTCTTAGATGGGTTTGAAGCTGGCTGGGTACCTGAGGATTACTGTAAATATTCAATAAGATTACCTTTCTACCTTGTCCCCAACACAGGCATAGACGAAAAGAAGTTAATCTTGTCAATTTGCTGTTTTCTTGTTTAACCTGAGGGATGACTCAAGGGTCACAAGGATTTATGAACTTGTTTTACAGAAGAAAAAGAATGCCTTCTGGGGCTGGCCCGGTGGCTAAGTGGTTAAGTTTGCACCTGCTGCTTTGACAGCCTGGGGTTTGCTGGTTCAGATCCTGGGTGTGGACCTATGCACCGCTTGTCAGGCCATGCTGTGGCAGGTGTTCTACATATAAAATAGAGGAAGATGGGCACGGATGTTAGCTCAGGGCCAGTCTTCCTCAGCAAAAAGAGGAAGATTGATGGCAAACGTTAGCTCAGGGCTAATCTTCCTCTAAAAAAAAATAATTAATTTTGAAAGAGAATGCCTTCAAGGAAGTAATGATCACCAGATAACCAGCCCCCAGCTGCCATGGCTGCCCAGAAGTCAGATCACCCAAGGGCTTATCTGGAGTGAAAGAAACATGGATTACCCCTTTGTTTCTCCAAAACTCCTCCTGCTCTATTAAACCCCCTGCTTTCTTCTCTTGTTAAGGTGGATTTGAGAGAAACCTATCCTCCCTCATTCTCATTTTGGCCAATTTGAATAAACCTTTCTCCATCTCCAAGCAGGATGTCTCAGTGATTGGCTTGCTGCATGTCAAGCACGTGAACTTGAGATTAAGAGGTTCAGTATCAGTTCTTAGCTTCCATTGTTCTTAGCTCCTTCTCCCACTCACCTCCTCCCATTCACACTCCACTGAACCAAATATAATAACAATAGCCATAACCAACCTTTATTCACACTTTCCATGGCCCTGGTAACATGCTAAGATTTAAAAAAATTTTTTTTATACATTCATCTCATTTAATCCTCACCTCAAACATATAGGTTGGGTACTGTTTTTTATAGATGAGAAATCTGAAGCTTAGAGAGGTTAAGGACCCCACTAGTAACTGGTTGAGCTAAGAGTCAGTCCAGAAGCAGGCTGTACTAATCCAAATTCCAATCCCATCCTTACTGGCAAACTACCTCACTTCATCTCCTACTTCATTTGCTCAGAAAACCAAAAGCATGGAGGTGGTCAAGCACGAAAGGTCTCAGATTACTGATATAGTTACCAGCTAAATTTCATCAAATCTAAGAGACTCTTGATTATAAGAAGCACCATTACTTCATACAACACTAAGAAAAAATGCTGCAGTTAAATTATAAAACAATGTTAAGACAATTCCTATATAAGAGATATTTCAAGAAATAAACTGTCTTCAAAAATGAATGATTTTTAAGTATAATATCCACACCCATCAAAACCTCTTTCCTTCTTGTGTCAAAGGATGAGGGGTCCCTCCTCCAAACTAAAGCCTTCTTCCCATGTTCTTTATTCTTTTTCCTCCTTGACCTTTTTCCATTGATTTTTCATTTCTCTCCAGTGTTTGCAACTTTACCTCCTTCAGACTAAAAGCATCTTCAGGTCTCTTTCAGCCTGAAAATCATCTGCTTGACCTATGCTATGTCATCCTCTAGCTATTATTCCATTTTTCTCTTTCTCTTCTGATTTCTTCTTCTTTCTTGTCTTGTATTTATGTTGAGACCTTGAAGGGCTATTATAGAGACATCAGATATTTGTGTTCTAATTATAAAGCCTAATATTTGTTTGCGACATCTTTGCTGTGGGCGTATGTTATGATTGTTCTCTGCCCAGGAAAACTTTCATTGGGGAACCACTCTTCCCCCACACCATCCACAAAAATACTGTTCAGTGTATTTTTCAGGTTCAGGAGGACTGACTCTCTAATTCCTTCCCCCAGGAGTGGGCACATGATCCAGGCCTGCCTGGAATACAATATCAAGGTTGCCACTGGCCTCAGGTTGAAACAAGGATGGACACATCACCTAAGCCAGGTCAGTCTGAATTCTGCCCTGAACTTTTCTCTTGAAGTTCTCGTGAAAGATGTACTCTGTCTGCCAAGACTGTTTGTGTACCATTAGGGGCCATTTTGTCCACCATGTGGAAATAGCATATCTAAGGGATGAAGAAAGATATGGGTCCCTGATGTCATTACTTGATCTCCTAGACCCAAAGATGCCGAAAACCAGATTACCCCTAGACTTTCAGATACATAAGCTAATAAATTCTTTTTGTTCATGCTGTTTGATTTGTCCTTCTGTCACTTGCAATCAAGAGTGCTAATACAGTGTTGTGTTCTCTTATGTGATGGCCAGTCAAGTGCAGCCACAGGAGGAGGCACAGGAGAGGCATAAGAAAAGAGTTTATTAAACTCACAGGTGTAGGGAGGGGGTCACAGCTTGCCACACAGGGTCATAGGGGAAGCGCCAGGTTTGGGTCAGGTGAAAGAAGACAGGAGCAAAGGGAAAGTTGAGACTAGAGCTTTTATGGAATTTGCATGGGAAAGGCAAGGCAAGGCAGGGTAAACAGTCTAGGAGTGCCTAGAATATTTGAATAATTTCAGTGGGTCTCAGCTATAGGCGTGGTCTCTAGTTGCCTGGCACCTGGCCCTGAGATGATTAAGGCAAAACAGTATTTTCTGCTGGGGTGTAAAGCCTGATAGAGGGGGAAAAGGAGGTTGGGCTCTGGATTGGTTAGTTTGCATACCAAATACATGCTCCCAGCTGAGTTCTTTGTTGTTTTTAAGAAGTGGCTATCTTCAGGAGGGGCAATCATTGCCCAGCCAGAAAGATTTGTTTTTTTAAGATGTCAAAATATCATAATATAAAGAAAATAAAAAATATATACAATACACACAGCGTTACAGTTTTCAAAGAGCTTTGACATGCATTCTTTTACTTGATCCTGTGGTTAGGGCAGGCAGGGTATGTGTTTGTCTTGTTCATGACTAGGTTTCTGGGACTCAGCACATGTTAGGTTTATGACAGGTGCTCAAAAATATTTGTTGAATGAAGTGAGCAGTGTGTGTGTTATTACTTACCCCACTTTAGAAAACAGGATTCTAAGTTCGGAAAGCTAGTTAGGTTGTGGACTTGGATCAGAATGGACTAGTTAAGAGGCTATAGTGAAAGCCTAAACTGGGAGGGGGCAGTGTAAACAGGATGGATTTGGATTATGATACACATGTCAAATCCATTTCAGCCTTTTTTCTGGAGTTCTACAGGAGCTTTTAACTCTCTCTCCCATCAACTTTTTTTTTTTAAAGATTTTATTTTTCCTTTTTCTCCCAAAGCCCCCCGGTACATAGTTGTATATTTTTAGTGTGGGTCCTTCTAGCTGTGGCACGTGGGATGCCTCCTCAGCATGGCCCGGTGAGCATTGCCTTGTCTGAGCCCAGGATCCGAACCGGCGAAACCCTGGGCCACTGGAGTGGAGTGCACAAACTCAACCACTCAGCCACGGGTCCAGCCCCTCTCCCATCAACTTTTGCTCCTCTACAATCCATTATTCACTCAACAGCCAGAGTGATCTTGCTAAGGTGTCAGATCAGATCCTATTACTCTTCTGCTTTAAATCCATCAAGGATTTCCCTTTACTTTCAGGAATAAAACCCCAAATCCTCAACATATCACACAGGTTTTTTGACCCAGCTGGCCCCTGCCTATCCCTTACCTGCATTTCCTCCTCTCCTTCTCTCTGCTCCAGCCACAATAGCTTCTTTCCATCCTAGAAAAATACAGTTCTCTTCCCAACTCAAAGGCTTTGCCTAGAACACTCTCCTTCCTCCGCTCTTTGTCTAGTTAATTCCTCCTCAATACTAAGTTCTCAGTTTCAACATCATCTCCTCCAGAACCTTCCCTGAGTTCTTCACCACTCTCATTCTAGATCAGACCCCTTGCTATCCACTCTTGTCCCTGTGTTGTTGTAACAGAAAGCAATAGGTTTCCTCCTTGGTAAGCGTGGGACCAATAAGCACACCAGGGACACGCAAGAGTGAAATAAGGTTTATTACTTGCAGCAAGTAAGGAGGACTCTGGGAGGACTCCTGAATTCCAACAAGGGTTTGAGGCGTGCTCGTCTTGTTAAATCAAGGTACGGTTTATGAATATTCAGTTAAAAGGAAGGCGGGAATTTGGGGGTTATTGTCTAACAGCCGTGTTCTTTCAAGGTGCACGAGTAGCATGTCCACATGCTATTACATACGTTGCATGTTCAAAGGAAGGGGGAGGGAACACATCTGGGAGGAGATTTTAGCATTATGAGATCATAACGAGCAGGTTCACTCTCAGTCACCCAGAAGGGGAGCCGGGTGGCTCAGGTTGGTTTAAACCGGTTCCTCAACAGTAGTCTCAGCTGAAAAACAACTTAAAAGAGTGTTAGTTGTTGTGACAGGAAGCAGCAACTTCCCTCTGCAGACACCAGTGCCCAGCCTAGCAGAAATCTCAGCCTAGCTACTAACATTTTGGCTTCATAGCCCCTGTCAGTTTGTAATGACTATTGACTATAGACTCTCTGAGACACCATCAACATAAGCTGTTGATCCAACAAAACTTAGAAATGTCTCAGAAGTCAGCAACTGATATTTATAAAGTTTTGAGGTCTGGACTCAAGTGGTTTTAAGGGGATCTGATTGAGATGGAGCAAAATTCTTCATATAATGATTTAGAATTGGTGAATTAAGTGTGAGGTGAGAGTCTTTCAGCAAATCGTTCTTTCCTTCTTTTTTTTTTGTGAGGAAGATTGGCCTCGAGCTGACATCTGTTGCCAGTCTTCCTCTATTTTGTATGTGGGACGCCACACAGTATGGCTTGATGAGCAGTGTGTAGGTCCACACCTGGGATCCCAACTCCTGAACCCCAGGCTGCAGAAGTGGAGCAAAGGAACTTAAGCACTACACCCCGGGGCTGGCCCTATAAGCAAATCTTGCTAAGTAAACAGTTGTTTGATGAGTGAGCAGTTTGCCAGTTAAGCCATCTATTGTCCTGAGAAATTGACCAAAAGCTGAAGTTGAGATAAATTGATTTTTAGGAAGTTCCTAAAGCGAACAATAAAAGTGTTTACTGGTATATGGCTTTAGGCCCCTGGGCAAGAATTACTGGAACAAATAAGCAAATCATGTTCCTGTAGGTGCCTTAGTTCTTAGTCTCCACTTCAGGTGTGTTGATGCAAGCAGTCTCAGTTCTGATGATGTGCCTGTGTTTATGTCACTCCTTCTGCATTAGCACCCGTGGCAGTCCCAACTTGACATTTGATTGATGTCCGTCTCTGCCAGTAGACTGTATACTCTCTGAGGGAGAGTCTGTTTTGCTCCCCATTTTATCCCCGGTACTGGTCACAGCACCGGGAACATGAAAGGTACTCAACTAAAATTTGCCGAATGAATGAGACCTTGGACAATAGCCTGGATGGGACGATGGGGGAAGAAATCAGAGATTACTTTGTCTTCAGTCCTATGTTCGAGTCATTCTAGTCATGCCAAGATGGGAGCTGGGGGAGCACATTTTGAAGGCAAAGGTGAGAAGCTCCACTTTGGGAAACTGAGTTTCATTTCCAGCAGGAAATATACATCAGGAATTCAGAGGAAAGACAAAATCTAGGGCGATATATGCAAATTTTATGAATTTTGTTTCTTTGGAATGACTTAAAATCAAAGTAATGTCGAGCTGTTGGATGACTATCACTGCTATAAATCTGACTTTATCAGAGAAAAATCCTTCTCAAAATCCATTTAGTTTGAAAGTCCCCCTCAGTCAGGCAAGGGCAAGACTAATTAAAATGTACTAGGTTGTAAAGATAATATTAAATGCAGGCAAAGCATCTTCTGTGTGCCAGGCTCTTTTCTAAGTGTTTTACCTCCATTAACTCATTACACCTCACAATAACTCTATGAGGTAAGTGCTATAATCATCTCCATCTACAGATAAGAGACATGCAGAATTGAGCCAAAGCTGCTTGCGACTACATGAAGTAGGACTGGCTACGTGACTTAACTTTCTATTCTGGGAAGTTCTTGCCCAAGAAGATAAAGTTGCAAAATATTTGTTTCAAGAACCTCCTGAAAATTCACTTATTTGGAGAATAGATGGCTCAACTGGGAAAACGAGATTGCTTCTCAAAAGGTTATTGACTCATCAAGAGTCACTTCAAAACCCATGCCTTGCTGAATTCACCAATCGTAAACCATTACATCACAAATTTGGCCGCAGTCACAAGCAGGTCCCCACACTAACAGTCTCCCCTTAAACCAGACTGCCTAAACCTTCTAAATATCCATCCTTGAAGTCCCCTCTGAGACACACTGAGATGATGTCAAGATGGTGCTCTCCCTTATTGCAATAAGCAATAAACTTGGCTTTATTTAGCAATAGGTTATTTTGGTTCTCTTAACAGAACCAAGAAATTAAAGCCTTGTGCCCAGTTCTTTGCTGATGTGTTCACTAATTTCACATGGAGAAGGAAGTTAAGGCCAGGATTTACTATCCAAATGGACACCCACCTCACTTGGGTGAAGAAAGTTGTTTTACGAAAATTAAGGGCAGAATTCTTTGTATCTGTTACAGAACTCAGCATAGCATTATACTGAATTAAAATGAACCTAGACTAAAAGACAGAAGCAAGATAGTTAAGTGAGTATAGCCAAAAACATAATCAAAACTAGCCAGGTGACAATGAAGGTTAGATTGGGGAAGGTCCCACCTACTGTCAACCTCAGAGGTTAAAAATACTGGCTTTGGATTCATAAATGGGTTTAAGTTCTGGCTTTATCATTTTCCAATGATTTGACTTTGGGCCATTAATTTCCCCAAACCTCAGTAGCTCACCTAATAATGTTAGTACCTACAAGATAGAGTTAATGTGAGGACTAAATGGGATAGTGTATGCCAAGAGTTTGTCATGGTGTAATTGGTGGTATTTATTGTTATTATTGTAATTCACTGCAGGATTTTAGGGCTTGGGAAGAAGGAAGATAAGATCAGTGGTATACTTGAAGGGGACTGGAGAATTCAGAGAAGAAAAAGTCTTATAAGCTGGGAATTCGGGATTGGATTTTTCTGTGGTAGTCTGGTGTTTTTCCAGGAAGATTGGTTACCAAGGCGCAAAGGGTAGTTTCCCAACTAAACTCTCTCCACTTGATATTAGAGCACACTTTACCTCCCAAGAGGGCTGCCTGGGCAGAGTTTAGGACTGTAGGAGAAGCTTGATCTTAGAAGTTTTAGAATTTAGAACCCTGAGAGAGAGATGGGATCTGTCAACGAGAAACACCTAAGCGTTTTGTGGGGATATGTAGGAGGTGAGTACTGTGGTTTTCTAGATGTTATCACTGGTGATGAAAAAGAACATGAGCTCACCGAGCCCAAGGTTGTTCTCTTTCAGACTTACTTATTCACCAACCAAGCAAGTCCTGTACAGAAGTATGGAGAGGAGGTGTTAAGTGAGCCCAGTGCTTACTGCATGCCACACCAGCTTTATGTCTGGACTCCAAAGATGAATAATCATGGAGAGGGAGGTCATTTTTCCCATTATTTGTGGAACTATAAAGCTAATGTTTATTTTGTATTTACCATGTGCCTCTAGGGGCTGCTGCTTTGCATGCCTTACCTTATTTAGTCCTTCTCACAAACCCTCTCAGGTATTACGATCCCCATCATTGAATTCCTACTTGATTTACGTGTGTTTTCTTATCAAGTACTCACAACTTTGGAAAGAGCCCTGGGGTCAAGAAAAGGAGAGATGTGGTGTAGTGTTGGATGGAACGTGGAAGCACAGAAAAGTTGAGAGAATCAACAATGCCAAGTTCAAAGTCGAAGTGACAGGATGGAAGGATGGGAGGTTGAATAAGGAGAAGAGCAAACGACCTCTTTTTCAACAGCGTGGCCTAGCTAGTAACTACACATTCAGGGAAGTGTCTTTAAAGATGAAAACAGAATCTTGAGGGTGATCTTGAGATTATGGGGTTGGAAAGGGTGAACTATTTTCTGATTCTAATGTCTCACTTGGAAAATTGAGTGGTTTTCTAGACTCCAAATGAATTCTTGGAATAAGATTAGAAGTTGTAAAACAGAATATTGTATATATGTGTTCACACTCTTCTGCAATTTTATTTTGTGTGACATGATTTTTAAGTTAACGCTATCTCAAGATGCAAATTATATGGGTTTTAATAATTTTAATTTCATCTCATCTCTTCCTAAGACATAGGTGGGTGATTCATTTTTGTGCTAGTTCATGCCAACCCTTTGTCAGAAACAGTCAAAATATAAATAAAACTTCTTCAAAAGTAACCCAACGGCAACAATGGAAGTGTGCCAGTGTTGTGAGGTAAATGCCAATCCTTTCACAAATGTTCTAACTTGTTGAACTGTGTATTTCCAAGCTTAAAGGGTCCATTAAGGAGCCAGCCCAGTCACGTAGTGGTTAAATTCATGTGCTCTGCTTTGGTGGCCTGGGGTTTGTGGGTTTGGATCCCAAGTATGGACCTATGCATCACTCAACAAGACATGCTGTGGTGGCATCCTACATACAAAAAAAAAAAAGGATCCATTAAGTAATCTTAAAAGAAGGGAAGCCTCCTTAGAAAGAATGATATTTGCCAAAGTCTTCATACCTCCTCCAACAACAACTTAGCAAACGTTCCTGAGTGTCTTCTATGGGCAACAGTCTGTGCAAGTCTCCATAGGGATACAGGGATGAATGAACATGAACCTGGACAAAAATTGCAACACAAAGTAGGAAATGAATTAGCAGCAAGCTGCACAAAATTTAAAGAAATCAGAGAGAGAGATTGTCAGATGGACAGGCTTAGGACATAGGTGGGATTTAAATTTGGTCTTGGATGGGTAAGTGGGGTGAGGTAGAGTGGCACAAGGAGTGTGGGTTTAGAGTAAGTACAGTGGTGAATAGCTTATTTTGATTAAAAAGGGAATTATGGCTTTTGAGGCCCGATAATAAGTGCAATGCTATGAACTTGCTGATTTGTTTTCTAAAGAAAGCCATTAAAAATTGAGTCGAGGAGTGATTTCCTTTGCTGTTACTGAATAACATGAAAAGTACTAGTGTCAGATATATCCCTCTGCCTTCCAGATACACCCTCCACCTTTCTCTTCCTGCTTTCATCCCTGGAAGGCAGACCTGTAGAAGCTACAACATCAAGGGTTTTCCTTACCTTCTGGTTTGACCAATGGGGTAACTTGCAAGAGATCCAAAGGAGGGAGGTGGGGATGTGAGGGGACTTATTTTCCAGGCTCCCTTCTTCGGGATAATCTTGGGCTGCTGCAGCCCTCACAAGAGTTTCACAACTCCTCTTGGCCTTTGGGTTCTGAAAAACACTGCTTCTCCTCTTCTGGTTGGGTCTAGGGGTGGGAACAGCCTGGCTTGGGTACTACTTTATTCTTATTCTTTACGCCCTGTCGTGCCTTTGTAAGGAGTCCTTTTATTAAACTTTCCTCAAGTTATCCTAAGGTGAGTGTACTCTGTTCCTTGCTGAGACCTCTATCAGACCTGGGATAGAGACACACTGGGCACCTGCTCACCTCCAACCCAGGAGAGGCACCAGAGTCTATGTTTATACTATGGGGTCCCACACTCCAGGCCAAAGTTTATTGGAAGCATGTTTGGACACCTGACCCAAATTCGGCCAATCAGATAGTCTTTTTGGGAGTCTGCATTAAGAAATTTTTCATATGGACTAGAGAGGAGGTGCACTCAGGAGGTGTGGGGTGCCATTTTTGCCCACTAAGTGGACTGAGAAGCAGATGAAATTGGTCTGTAGGGACGCTTAGCGAAGTTGTCTGAGCTCTGAATGGTTTATCTGTCCTTTGTTCCAGTCCCTCCTGAAGGCCAGGTAAATTCTTGTCCTCAGGTTCTGTGAGATAACTCTACTTTCTTACAATAAACACCACACACACATAACCACATAGTGTTTTTTTGGTCAGTTTAAGCACATTAGAGTTATTTTCTGTTACTTGCAGCCAAAGAGACTTAACTAATAGAAGACCCAAGACACACAGTCCCAGTTACCACTTATGGAGTAGTTAGTGTGTGCCAGACTTCACATGACTTATCTTGTTTAATCCTATCAACTACCCTGAGAGGTAGTTTTCTTGAGACTCAGATCTTTCCTGGCTTAAAACTTCCTTCAAATAACTCCCTCTAAGTGTCCCTCAATTTTTTCTGGATGCCCCCCTGCAAGGATTCCTTATTAAAAGGATTCTGATAGCCAATTTCTGATAGGGGAGCTTCCCCATGCCACCAACAAGCATTTCTTGGACATCATCTGGGTGTCCTACAATTCAATTCAATTCAATTCTGACACTATCTACCTAGGGACAGCATCAGTTTCCACAGATAAAGGGCTCAGTCCCACAGGATGGTGCTCCACTTCAGATGCCAATCACAAGCCCAGGTTGTTACCTGTACTTCTGACTGACTGGCTATAAAGAAGACGTCTTGACAACCCCCTCCTTGGGTTGATTAATTTTCTAGGATGGCTCACAGAACTCAGGACATCTATTTACTCACTAGATTATCAATTTATTACAAAGGACATTAAAGGATACAAATCAACAGCCAGATGAAGAAATACGTAGGACAAGGCATGGGGAAAGGGTACAGAGCTTCCATGCCCTCTCCAGGTGTGCCACTCTCCCTGAATCTTCAGATGTTCACCAAGCCGGAAGCTCTCTGAATCCCATCCTTTCGGGTTTTTATGGAGGCTTCATTACATACACATGATTGATTAAATCATTGGACATTGATGATTGAACTCAATCTCCAGGCCCTCTCTGAACCTCCCTGAGGTGGGGGGATGGGACTGAAAGTTCCAACCCTCTAGTCATGGTTGGTTTCCCTGGCAACTAGCCCCCATCCTAGTGGCTTTCCCAAAGTCACCTCAATAACATAAACTCAGATGTGGTTGAAGGGGGTTTGTTATGAATAACAAGACACCAATTTCACCTTTATAGCTCTGAAGCAATTTCAGGAACTGAGGACAAAAGACCAAATATTATGACAAAAGATGCTCCCATTACTCACTGAGGAAACTCCAAGGATTTTGGGAGCTGTAAGCCAGGAACAGTGAACAAAGACTAAATATATATGAGAAATATATTTTGGTCATGTTTATGACCAAATTATATCTTTTTTATTAATCACAATATCACCCTGATGGTTTCTTATAAACCAATCTGTTGGCCTTGGTCACCACACAGTCTGTTCTGTTCTTTTTCTTGATTCACAGATGTTACCACACACATGAAAGTGACAGTATCTACATCTAAGATCCTGCCTGCAGATGCTACCAAATGTCTGGGCCTCAGGGTGCTCAGACATCTCTGAATTTGATGAAGAGAAGGGGAGAATGTCTCCTCTCCCTCTGTGTCAGTTCAGCCTTGTGGCAGTCTTTCATGTGGCCAGAGGCTCCTAAAGTCTTCTGAGGAGATCTCAGATCTATGAGCTAAGGGCAGAGCTTCCCCACTGTGCACCATGGCACAGCAGCGTACCACAAAGGTTACGGGGATATCGATTCCCCTGGCCCTACTGGCAGCCTTAGGGGAGGACCGGGTGGCTACAGCCCTAGCACTGTCCTCTGATGTTGAGCAATCTTAGTTCATCAACCCTCTAATGAACCTCATCTGTGAGCTACAGATACTATTGTTTTCTGTCAATATCGTGTCATGAATCTAGCCCTCTACACAAATCACCACCCTATGCCAACCCCAAAGGAATAAATATCCAATCTTGACGAGAGCAACAATTGACATTGTGCTGTTACTTGCATGCTTGCCTTTCCTGTTTTCTGGTTTCTCTTCTTTGTTAGAAAACAAACTTGCATGCAAATGAGGAGGCAGATTTTGGTGTGTGTGTATGTGTGTACTATTAGGAAATAAGAAAGATATTGTCTGTACTCTCATTAGCCAGCCCCAAATTCCCTATTATATATACCATTCCCCTCTGATCAAGGAGGAGACAGTCTTGCAGAGTTCAGTCACCTACCTGAGGTCACACACTATGTGGCAGGGTGGAGATTCCAATCCAAGCCTGTCTGGCTCCAGAGACACATGCCTGATTCCACATTGCCACATCCCTTCTTCCCAGTGTTCCACTGACTAAGATAAGACCTTCGAATCTCCATTTAGAGAACAAGTTCTGGAGTAGCCATGGAGGTGCACCTCTCAGGACTCCCTTCGAGGGAACTGTCACAAGTAATGCAGTCAGGTGACAGCCCTCAGCTGTAGCAACTTTGGGGTTTGGTGCTGTGGGAGATCAGAATTTGCCACCCTAAAAAAAATCTCC